ATATATATATATATATAGGTAGAAAATAATGTGTGTATATATATATATATATATATTGGTAGAAAATAATGTGTGTATATATATATATATATTGGTAGAAAATAATGTATATACCAAAAAATATTTTAAAAAGTTTATTTTCATATATTTCAGCAAATATATTTGAAATTATAACATTGTATTTGCTGTATGGGATATTACAAAATTTATTCTGTTCTGAAGTCATATCATGACCTAAATTTAAGACTATTAACTGATATTTTTCCCAGCGGTGAATTAAATTGAGAGCTGCTGTGATTGGTTCATGCAGTGAGTTGCAGCGAATCAGTCCAGTTCAATGGATCAACCAATTCACTGAAAAGAATAAGTTCAAAAGAACCATTCATTCACTAGTCTGATTCTTTAGTTCAGCTCCCTGACTCAGTCATCCAGTCATAGCAATTTCTTAAGGTAACAGCCCACTGGAGGTGAAAACTATTATCTTTTGTTGCTGAAAACACAACCTTTAATCAAATATGACATGGAATCCTCTCAGTCACTGCTGAACGGTTAGATTTTTTTTTCAAACTCTGCTTGTAACTTTTTAAAAATGTAATATATATATATTTTTAATTCCAGATCACTGAGAGAACAGAATCCTTGAATCGATCTTTAAAGAAGAGGTGAGTTTATTCATCAAAATAAAATTTGTATTAAGACTAATCTTGACATTCTTGGCTTCAGTGACTTTGCTATAAATGGCAGATTCTTGACAAAAACTTACAAGTATAGTTGGCAAGATGACTGTTGTTTAAAAGTAAACATTGACATAGGTGGCATAGGTCACTGTAATACTTTGCTAGTCCATCGCCTTGTCAGCAATGATTTATAGTTCGGCTAACTTTAACCAGATGTGGAGTGCACTCTTTTCCTGATGAGATTGTGGTGGATTGAAATAAGACTTGTCACCATATACACACACACACAAAAAAGCTCAGGACACTATGGTTTACCAACAGCTTGCACCAGTGCAGACCTGCAAATGTCACGGTAAAAAATACTGTCAGGATTTACTAAATACAGTGAAAAATTTGTGATGAAAAGTCATGGACACAGTTATTGTTTGCAGCTGACCTTATTGTATATGGTTTAAGTATATAAGGTTTGAGGTGGTCAGTTTACTGGTATTTGCACCATTATTTAACACCCAAAAAAGCATGTTTTAACCCACTTTGCATCTGTGTTAGTAGATCATCTGATTATCATCGGCTCTGCCTTTTGTCTGTGTTCATGTCAGTGTTATTTTAGCATTATTTATATACGATTATAGTATTTATTCATATTTGGAATTAGCATTAGATTTTACATTGATTTTAGTGTAAGTTTCAGCAATTTCGTAATGCGCTTTTATCCTATATAGTTTTATTTCAATTGTATTAATTTTAGTACTTCATTGTATTATTAGTACTACTTAAATGTATTATAGCTGGTGGCCAAGGCAACATTTAAATTTTTTATTTACATTTTTATCTAGTATGCATATTTAATTTGATTTCAACCTGATTAAGTTTTAAACTTATTACCAAAAGCATTTTTTTATCGTTTTAGTGAATAATAATAACACTGGTTTATATGCACTTATCAAGAATCTTTGTTTTACAAACAGTAACAGTTTCAAGAAGACCCAGAGACCTGTACTCCTTCCCAAGATCGACGACAAACTGGAACAATACACACATGCAGTCGAGGTTTAGTTTACAGCCTTATATCTTGCTATATGTTATGCTTTTATATATTGGTATATATTATCATTTTTTTTTGGAACCTGTTCTACTTTTTTCAGGATTCTTTGATGAATAAAACGTTAAAAAGAAGAGCATTTATTTGAAATAGAATCTTTTCTAACAATATATCTTTTCTAACAATATACACTACCATTCAAAGGTTTGGGGTCAGTAAATAATAACAATATTATTAAATAACAATATAAATCTTTGATAGCAAAGATTGATATGGTTAGAAAAGATTTATATTTTGAATAAATGCTGTTTTTTTTAAACTTTGTATTCATCAAAGAATCCTGAAAAAAGCAGGATTGCAGTTTCCAAAAAAATATTTGGCAGCACAACTGTTGCTAACATTGATCATTCTAATAATAAATCAGCATATTAGAATGATTTCTTAAGGATCATGTGATACTTTATACTGGAGTAATGGCAGATGGAAATTTAGCTTAGCATCACAAAAATAAATTATGTTTTAAAGGATATTAAAATAGAAACCGTTATTTTATATTGTAATAACATTTTGCAAGATTACTGTTTTTTTTCTGTATTTTTGATCAAATAAATGCAGCCTTGATGAGCATAAGAGACTTCTTTAAAAAACATTACAAGTCTTACTGATCCCAAACTATATGTAAGGGATAATGTACATCCAGCCGGTTGTTATCTCAGAATAAACCCCGACAGCGTGATCAGGATCAGGGGTCTTGTATCAGCCTGAAGGGGTTTATTCTGAGATAACAACCGGCTGGATGTACATTATCCCGCTTATTACATGGTTAAAAAGATTTGTTTTTACCATATATGTTGACATTAATGCTGAAGTCTTCCGTTGTAACACGCGGTGGTTAAGTGTTTTCACAGTAAAATAACAAAAAGGTAAATTTATGTTGCCCCCTTGTGGCAGAATGAGCTACTGCAACTTCACTCCCCCCCCTCATTTTCACAAAATCCAATCAGTCCTCTTGTCCTATAAACTGCAATTTTTTTTGATGTGGTTATGTAGTTTATAGTGTTAGCGGTTAAGGTCTGAAGAACAAACCTTACGATCATTACATCCAGATGTAATAGACATTGTTTCTATCAAACATAAGAGCTTTTGAAGACAAAACATTTTCTTTGTAAAATGAAAAAAAGGGCTAAATGATTGCATTTTATCTTTGAATTAATGGAGTGATGCTAGATTAAGACTGTGTAATATCACTTTAAGTTTACCATAATGATACCTGGTTTATGTTAAACAAATAATTCACCCAAAATCATTTTCTCACCCTCACGTTGTTCCAAACATGTTTGATTTACTTTCTTCTGTGGAAAACAAAAATTCTGAAGACAGAGGACAAAAAAAAAACATAAAAAGTAATTCATACAACTTGTCCACTCTGTCCATGGAAAATCTTGATATCACCCATAGCTTGCCTCAATAATTAAAGTTTATGAGAAGTAGCCATGCCCAAAATTGTGGATAATTAGTATTTTTGTTGGAACTTTTAAATTAGTCTTTTGATCCGGTTCACAATATCGGCCTTGATGATTCAAAGAATCAGATCGATGTAGTTCTTGAGTTCAACTAAGTGACTCAGTGACTCAATGATCAAATCAGTCTATCAGTGAATAATGACTTAAATTTCACGTCAACTATTCCATGAAAGGATAATGGCAGTACAGCTTTCAGCAGATTTAGCAGAATAAAGTCATTCTCAACAATGCTTTCTAATTTTCATTTCCAGGACGTTAAACCTGGAGATGTTCTGCAGAAAAAGAACATGTGGGAAATTATTGGAGAAGGTTCTGCAGCTGAGAGGCCGGGACTGGGAGGAAAGGTAAATATTCAGATAAGAAATGTACTGATAAACCTCAAAATGATAAATATAGGTTGAGAATGAATCTCTTACTGAATGCCTCTCATGCTATTTCTTCTACTCAACTTTTATATTTGTAGGCCTCCTCCTCGGGTAAACGATGCAAGTTTGTTGTGACAGGCCATGGGAAGTACGAGAAGATTTGATGGTGATCATTACGGTGTCTACCCGAATGAAAAATCAAGTGAGACGCTTTCTTCTATTTTACATAACATATACCTAATTTAAAGCTAACAATAAAAATATGATTCTGTAAATAAAAATGCCTCCCCAAAAACACAATGGGAACATGAACACATGCCTTTTTACAGACTAGCGGAGGCGTGCTAGGTAATGTTATCTAATATTAACTAGCTATCAGGCTAGTAAAAAACTAGCTACGTAGCAAGCTAGCTAAGATTAGTTTTAAAATGTTGAATTAGAGCATAAAATACGCTTACATTATTTCTAGTGCCTTATGGGATGACTTCCATTTCCTCATAAGTACACACTGACACTAATGTACTTTTTTTTAATGAGAGTCCTAAAAACTCATCTCACTAAATAAATGTCATTGTTCTAATTCAAAATGTTGTTGAAATAAGAATATTGCATAAAAACGTTATGTCTCAAGTAAACTTTGGAGAGGTAATATAATTCATTTTAAAATAGGCTATATCTGAAAACACTTGAAAATTATTTTACCTTTTGAAATCTTGCAGTCTGCAGGGTTTTCATATGCCTGTTTGATAATATATTGATACTATATCTCAAACAAATCACAGCAAGCTGCTAACACAATGCAAATGTTTTCATTCAATGGCATGAAAGTAGTCATACAAAATATCCTCTCTCAAAACAGGTATTTTATTAAAAAAAATATATAAAATAACATTAAATCTAGTACAGTGCACCTTAGAATGCCAAGCAATTATACACATCAACATCAGTAAAGAGAAAATGTTCTCAGTCTGATGGTTTCTGCAATAAAAGACCAACATGCAAAAAAAGCCAAGCCCACGTACTTAACATTACCTGTAATGAGAACATGCATGAGTTGACAATCAGCATTCGCTGTTATGTATTTAATCACATTGAAGCAACCATTTACTGTATATTTAAGGTTTGGAAAGCTCCATCAGTGAAAGCTCTTTGTCAACACTGAGCACCAAGTAGGGCAGCAGAGCAGAGTGCGCCATTCCTTGCTTTCAGTACTAATAAGGCTTAGTACACATTTCCAAAACTTAGCATACTTACTGTATACATCTTGTTCTTATACTATCTCTTAATTCTTCCGGATTTTACCAGTTCCACTTGCCCACCCATCTAAAACTCACACTCAATTGTCCCTACACCTTCAAAAACATACAATAGCAATTTGTCCCTCAACACCATGTCATCTTGTATAATAGCATATCCTCACAAAGACTTTTTACGCCTGTAGAAAAATATTGCTAAGAAAAAGGTGTTGTGTATTTTATTGTAATGTTAAAAAAGAATACAGTGAGGTAACTTAAAATTTTAGATGCCTAAACCCTGCATATATTTGACATTTTCTTACCCAATAATACTCTCTTGATTTTGTGTCTTGTGGCAGGCTGGAGTGAAAATACTTATTTTTTATAAAAATTATTGAAATTATCTTTTTTTTTTTTGATGATGATGAAAATGTTCAGGGATGTAAGTAATATCAAAATATTACCATATTTAACATGCTTATGAAAAATGTTGACATAAGCTTTGAAAGTCTTAAGCAATAAAGTCTTTAATTTAAAAGCTTCAAAACGATATGATTTTCTTTTCTTTATTCAATATTCTAATTAGCTTAAATGGTTAATGCCAGTTGACAAGTGGGCAATACCTACTGCAAATAAGATATTGTGCATTTGACAGATCTCTTTTTTTTAGTTTACTTGCCAATTGACCTGTTATAAAGTTATAAAAGTATATGTAAAGAATTGGACTGGATAATAAACAGAACTCTACCATCGCAATGAAAGCTAACAATATCCTTGCCCATTATTTCTATGTTATTCAGTTAGACGCCAGTGGTTTAAGAAATACTGAAGCCTTTGGCTGTTCTATTAAAGTCTTTTGGTTCTTCGTCTTTATTTTTGCGGCCTATGAGTCCCATTTCAAAAACTGTTGCAATCTTTGTTGCTGGTCGCGAAGCTGCCTCTCTTAGTCGTCTGGCATCAAACCGCGGACTGTACAGGAGAACTGGCAAACAATGCGCAAATGTGGGAATCTCTTCTGACATTTTCTGTTCTGCCTCCATCTTCTTTTGCTCCTCAGTTTTATTGGCTTCAATTTGTTGCATTATATTCTCTTTGGTGGAGAACATTTGGAAGAGGACAGCATCCCACATTTTTGCTGCCCTTGGGGAGTCTCTACTGTCCTGGCTGTCAGTAGGCTTAGCTTCGGCTTCAGTTATATTTCGCATTTCACTTACATTTTGATCAGCGCTGGCAGGGACATCTTTCTTTGACACAGGCTCTTCCTCTGGAAACTTGGGCTCCTCTGCTTCAACCACCATATGTTTCTTAAGGCGAGACCAGCCACTGAGTTTTGACTTCATGCCTTTTGGTTTCTGCATCACCTTCAAGAGAGGCTCTGCAGTTAGGGAGGAGTCTTTCTCTCCCTCTTCCTTTTCCACTGCAGACCTGATCTCCTGTTGTGGGCTAGCTTTTGTCTCCACTCTGTCAACCTGTTCAGGTTCGGTATCCTTTGTTTCAAGTTTCTCTTGGTCTTTTGGTTTAGCCAGTGGCTTAACCACATCCTTAACCTCTCCTTTATCAGGAGTTTTTTCAGAAGAAGCGACTTCAAGCTTCTGCTTCTTAATTCTCTCTAACAAAGACATTTTTGCCTCTGTTGGCTTCTCTGTTACTTTGGTTGTTTCGGCATTAACTTTACCTTCTGACACCTTTGGAAGAGCTGGCTTTCCCACATCTTGGTCAGATAATAGCACAGCCTTACTAGCAGATTTCGGCGTTACCTTCACAGTTGGAGGGGTTGGTGTCTTTTGGGAAAGTCTAGGAGATCCATAGGTTGGAGTTCTGACTCTTGGTGTCACAGTACTTATTGGCTCTGCTTTTGCTTCTGATGGTGGTGTGTCAGCTACAGATACCACAATAGTTGGAATTTTAACGTCAGGAATTTTTGCTTTTAATTCTGGCACAGTTGACTTGGGAATGTCCCTTACAGAGTTTGCTTGTAGCATAGAGGCTAACTTTGAAACCTCTGGAGGTGGAGCCACCACAGCGGTTTCCTCTTTAACAACACCAGCCTGAGGTGGCAGGACTTCAACTTGTTCTTTAGGCTTTACCTCAGACTTGTCATTCGTCATGGTCACATTTACATCAGGTTGAGGTACTATTTGTTCCTGTTTTGAAAGGTGAGTTGCCTCTGCACTTGGTAGTGCAGTTGATGTAGAAATGCTAAAACTGGGTGTGTAACTCTTTATTCCTCCATGGGCAACATATTCAGAGGGAGTCAATCCATAATATGTTGGTTTGGATTTAGGTGCTGTTGGTGTTTTGGGTCTTTGACCTGCAAATGGAGGGACTCTAGATAACGTTTTTTGATGCCCAACTGAGGATAAAGCAGGCTGTGCATGTTTAGTCTTGGGTGTTGTTGGGGTTTTAGGCTTTGGCTGCTCATTTGGGCTTTTCTGTATTTGGGACTTTGGCTTTGATGACTCAAGTTTTGACAGGTTTTCTGTGGCCTTATCCAGCTTTTCTTGTAAGGGTTCAGTTGATTTGACACCTATGTCCCCATTTTGTAATATTTCTGAATGACTGGTGTCATTCACTTGATTTGATATTTTATGCATTTCATTGTGTGGACCAGTCAAACTTGAGGTTGGCGTTTTGGATCTTCTGCCCTCCATGTGCACAGGAGACACAGCAAATAAAAGTGGATTTGGTCTTGAAATCTCAATCACAGGTACTCTAACATGTGACGCATTACCTGAAGGTGTCTTGGGACGCCCTGAAGGTGTTTTTGTTGAAATAAAGTCAAATGTTGGTGTCTTTACTCTTGTTGGTGTTGTAGCCCCCTTTGCCTCAAGCGTTGGAGTTGTACCCCATTTTGTCTCAGGTGTCAGTGTTGCATTTTGTTTAGTCTCTGAAGCAGGAGTTCTGAACCTTTTAATTTCAGAAGATGGAATTGTCTCTTTCTTGACTTCAGAAGTTGGAGTTTGGCTTTTCTTAATTTCTGAAGTTGGGGTTGTAATCCTCTTGACTTCAAATGTTGGTGTTGTAACCCTTCTGATCTCTCTGGTTGGTGTTCTGTCTCTTCTTATTTCAGATGTTGGTGTCACTATCCTTCTAACCTCAAATGTTGGCGTTGGGCCTCTCAATAACTCTGCAGTAGGCGTTTTACTCCTTGTTGGTGATGCATGAGGTGTTCTCACACCTACTGTCTTTGCTGTGTAAATGGTGATTTGAGGAACTTCAAACAATGGTTTTGATGTTCTAGAAACATTCAAAGTGGCTGGCTGAGGGCTTGGAGATTTAGAGGTTACATGAGTGGTAAGATTTGAGCTGACTTCCACTCTTTGTGAAGTTTGTAGAATAGTGACTGGAACAGGTTCATGCGTGTCAAGTCCTGGTACTGGTGAGGCTGTGTATTGAAATGCTGGAGACCGGCGTTGGGGAGCCACATATGGTTGTGGTGAAAACCTTGCCGTCTTGCCGTAAGTGAATCCTCTGTGATGAGGATAAGGAGACGACACATGCTGATACAGTGGTCGGACGTTGAAGCGTGGGTGTACCGTGCCAATGTAGTAAGGTGTCTCTGGAGTCTTAGGAGGAGTTGAGTGATCACTGTGCTCCAGGTCAGGGCTCGCTTCATTTGCTGGAGAGAGGATTGAGCGGTAGGCGACTGACGGTTGTGAGTCCTGGGCTGCAGCTTTTTTC